AGAGGTGAAGAATTTGGTGGAGAGAAAACTGGCTGCTCCTTTGTGTTTTTGATCAGACTGGGGCTTTGATGCCTTCTCTTTCCCCCTTCCAGTGCCTGAGCTTTGTATGTGACACCACCACGGGGCCTCAGGCTCTGGGATCTGCACATGGAGAGCATTTCCCTGCCTACATCTCCATCCCCTGAGGGATACAGCCCCAGGGGTGATGCCCTTCCCAGTGAAGAGGGACAAGGTGCCACAGTTACCCCACAATGAACTCTGACAGGCCATGCTGTCACTCGGTCTCTCAGGGACTCCCCAGCAAGGCCTGGAAATTCACACTTTGCTTTTGCAACCCCTCTCACCCATGAGTTTCTCTCTGCAGTGCTGGAAAACCTGTGGAGTCAAGAAACCTGGTGGGAATTCATGGAAGATGTGCAGCAGAGAGGGAGGTCCAAGCCACCTCTGAATGAGACACCAGGGGTACAGCAGGAGGCTTTCTGCCACAGGATGGAGCTCAGTGCAGGCTGCAAAGCATTTCTAGGGAGCTCCAAAATACTCAAAGCATCCGAATCTCATTGCACTGCCAGCTGTGCCTCCAGGCAGATAAACTGCAAAGTGACTGGGAAAAAAAATTCGTGTAGGTGAAGGTCTTGATCATGTCTGAAAAAGTACAATACCCAAGAGAGTGATGGGGGGAGAAAAGAGGCAGCTTTTGTAAAAAGTGAGCATGTGAACTCTGTGGCTTCAATTTTGTCCCACTTACTCTGTACACCAGCTCTACAAAGTGTTTCTCACACAAAAGTGTATTTTTAACAAAACGGAAAAGAATGCGCCAGAATTGGAAGCTCGAGCTACTTTTACCCCAGGTAAAAGGCAAATGCCATGTAAGAGGTTGAATGGCAAAGGAAGGATTTTTTTTCTTTTTTTGGCCATTAATACTAATGGCCAAATTAGTATTAATGGGGTTGATCTTTCTGACTGTGAAATCTCACTGAATAAAAATATTTAATAAGAGAAATCCTCAGCGTTCTCTTCTACCTGAGCATCATGCACAACCAGAAACTGCTTTACCAAAGGAGTTAAAAGTTGTCTGCAATAATGCAGCAAATCACTCTGTGCAACAAGCACAGACACATTCTGTGGCAGTTTCCCCACAAGGTTCAATCTATGGGGTAAAAAAGTCTTGATTTATTATATAGCATTTGGACAGTTGTGAATGAAAATTTGCCAAAGATCAGAATAATCAACTCTTTCACCCAGGGAGTTTTTTTATGCAAGAAAAAAGCACAGAATGGGTCTGAGCAAAATAAATAAAAATTCCACACTTTTAACCAACAGAACCTTTTGCGTCATTCAGAAATATTTACAGACATCCAGAATCTTTTATCATCAAAAAGACACTCTGGCCTTTCAAATTGCAACTTTTTCTTATATTTTTTTTTTTACTGATGGCCTTTAAACCAATGGATATCTCTAACTTTTGGCATCTCTTCATGTCATGTCAAACGCAGGAACTTTTAAAGCTGTTCCTTGGTATGTTTTCCTCTTCCCTTGAAACATCTCTCTTTTGCTAAGCTGTCATCTGTGAGTTTTAAAGATAGCAGAACCCCATCTACAGCGGCATCCATCACATGAGTCATGGTAGCTATGCCTCAAAAATCAGTTTTTATTGACTGACTGGGCCTCTGGTGCCAATATGGAAATCTTCCAACCTGGAAAGGGCCGGCTGTTTTAATACAATTAAATACAGCCAGGAAGAGGGCTGCAAATGGAAACATGCATTAGCCATTCATAGTATACAAGCCTCTCTCAGAGCCCAGTAAAGTGCAGCATCCCTGCTTCCCTTGCTTATTTAATTAGCACACAATGAAGGCCACTGAATTTCCCTGCAAAAGGTGTTGCGTACTTTGGACAAAAAAGAAAGGAGAAAAGAAGTTGCTTTTAAGTCCAGTCCAAAAAAATAGCTCCTTGGCTAAATGGCACTTTTAATAAAGACGTTTCCAGTGTTTGTTTATTTATCAAAAAGCAGTGTTTCTCTCGGGTGTTTTGATTTTTATTTCTGTGCACAAGAAGGAGGGGAAAAAAAGGGCTTTACTAAGCAAGTCTTTCAGTGAGACACCAGATGATGGATAGTCAAACACAGAGTCTCCTGTAAACACAGAGGTAACCAAAAGGTATGAACTGACTCATAATTGTGTCAACACAGGTCGCAGACCCTTGGTTTATTTCAGCCTTCCTGTTTTTCACAGATTTCTTTTCACACTACAGTATTTTTTTTAAGACACAGACTCTTTTCAGTACATCTTAGCGGGGTGCAAAAGCACACACGTTTTTACACCAAAATGTGGGCATCTACACACACATGCAGGCTGTACTGCCACAACTTCAACAGCAGCATTTTCCATCTATTGCTTATGGCTACATTCAACTAAGCTGTGCAGTCCATGACTGCTCTAAATCAAAAAGTCCATCCCATTCCTGCCTCCAGCTTTTCCCTGGAGGCTCTTGGGAAGCATCCAGCAGAGAGGAATACAACAAAACCTCAACAGCCTTGTGCTCCAGCTCATCCAACCCTCCAAGACTTGCTGTAATTATTTTTTTTTAACCTAAGTGGCAAGACTCTGTCTGATGGAAAATGCTGGGAGGAGGACAGGCAGCAAAGAGGTCTGTGATGAGCAGAACCTGCCTGTATTTGTCCTGATCTCTAAACAAATTGAATTTGGCTGTAGCTTTTCCCTTGTATAAAGCTTAGAACCATGGTTTGGAAGGTTGGAAAGATCTTCTAGCTCCAATCCCCCTAAAGACCTTCCACTAAAAGCCCCATCCAACCTGGCCTTGGAGGAAAAAGCCTTTCTGTGCTCCCTATTTCTGAACTAGAAAGTTCAGAATTTGTTATGGTGGGGGCTGATGTGCAGACACCCCAAGACATTGAATCCCCTGCAAGTCCCAGACCAGCTGAAGGGCCAGGAAAGATGTTGCAGGACATTCCCTGTACCTGTGCAGACACTAGTCTGACATCCTGAGATCCTTTTAAAGAACTTGCAGAAAATAACAAATGAAGAAGGGTTAAAGCCAGGGAAATGGTTCTTCCTCAGCAGAGGCAGGAAAAGAAGCCATTTAAGGCCAGACTGCAGTGACCAGTGCTCGTTCCTGGGTGTCCAGGGAGCACAGAGCCCAGTGCAAGGGATCTGCAATGGATCCAGCCTGAGCACACACATGAAAAGGACTTAATGCTACAGACCCACCCACCCAGGATGTGTGAGACACCCTGTATGAGGCAGGAGAGGTTCAGACAACTGTTCATCTGGGGTGTTTCAACTTCAGAGATTCACTGAAAATGGCAGAGCCAGCAAGGACAGATAACATTATTCAGGCTCAGCAGTGCCTTATTCCTTTGTGTAATCACATCCAGCTCAACTCAACAAAAATCAAAGTTACAGAATCAGGATTTGGAGATTATTTCCACTGTGGAAAAGGCAGTTGCTAGAATTCCCAGCTCACAGGTAATCACTGCAGTGACTGAAACCAAATCTGCCCAGAGATCCCACAACGGCTCTTGCCTGGTTACATCACCAAATCATTCACCAAAAAAATGCAAAACAAATTACATTAGGGTGAAGCTGACACACACAAAACCCTCCAGAAATAACATTTCAGAAACAGAAATAATTGGCAGACTTAATTTTTTAAAGACTACTCATTTTAGGAGAGTACACCTTTGTAAAGAGAGAACATTTTATCTGGAGCCATTTTCCCTTTTGGAAACAAAGGATGACAGAACAATGGGGAGAATTCCCTTTGAAATTACAATATATTGAGTCAGGTTTGCTTCCAGCAGGTTCTGTACCTTCAGAAATTGGTCAGACTTTGTGTGTTTGTCAACTGGGGAAAACCTACATTCTATTCTCCTGTCTCCCCTCTTTTCTTTACCACCTTTTACCTACAACAGAAGGCAAAGGAAGAAAATTTTACTGAAGGAGACCATGCAAAGAGTCTTCCAAACATTCCACATATTTCCTCTGCATAAACATGCTGTGGATTTCTAATGTAAATAGTGCCAGGGCACTGTCACTCAGACCCCAGGAGCTCACCCAAGTTAGACAAATTATGCTGCCCATTATCTCACTTGTTACAGATTCTTGCCTTTCATTCATTTCTTGCCAGTGGCTGGATTTTATGTGTAGAGGAGAAAAGAAGCCTCAAAAGCTGAAGTTAACCTCTTGTGGTGAGACCAGTAATCCTGGGCTTTCCAGGGGAGAATGCAGAAGGAGATAGCTGCTGGCCCTGTCTGCCAAGGCAGCAGTCAAAGGAATGCTGAAATTTGGCATGTATGAGCAGGAGAAATGCAGTGCTATGAAAATGGACACTGCAAGCTCCCTGCCAAATCTGCAGCATTTGGCCCACATGAATAAAACAAATTAAGTTAAAACAAGTTTTTTACATGTCCTGTAAAAAAGCTCCATTAAGTTGAATAGGGGATGGTGCTGCTGAGCAAACCTGCCTGGCAGAAGCCTGGCTGCTGCTTCAAACATCATATCCACACTATAATTAACACTAACTTACAGTCAGCAAGGCTCATTTCCTCCCAGATAAGGAGATACTTACCAGAAGGGAATGCAGGATGTGATGAGGGGATTCCTTTCTGGATGGGTTTTTACAGCCACACTGGCAGGGACAGAGTGAAAGCCCCTGTCCCACATGCCAGGTGTTGTCCAGCTGTGAAACCCCTTTGTGTCCTGGAACCTGTGTATGGAACACAAAGGGCCTGGATGCTGCCAGCCCCATGCCCTGCCCTGCCAGTGCAGCATTCCAGCCTCTCCTGCCTGGTTCACAACCCCTTTCAGGAACAGAAAATCAGCATTTTTTGCATGGCAGCACCACGGGAGGAACGTGCATGGCATGCCCACCTGTAAACTGACTCCCTGTAATGATGAGTACCTTTAATGTCATTCTAATGAGCCAGTTCTGATAGAATGTTTTATTTATGCTGTGCTTCCAAAGAAGGGAAAAGCTCTTACCTATTGTTCTTCGGAGATCTTCACACTGGCTAATGTGAGGGAATTTCAGGATTTCCTTCCACTTTTTGCTTTTGCCTTTGCGTTTCCCTCCACCCCCTGCAGAGAGAGAAACACCAGGATTAGATTGCTCTGGGGACACAGTTCCACCTGCCCAGTCACGATTCTTATGGATACCATCAATAATTAAAGCTGAGACACTGTGGGTTGATGTACAAGCAGATCCCTGGAAGTGTTCAAGGAAAGGCTGAATGGGGCTCTGAGCAATCTGGTCTAGCAAAAGAGATCCCTGCTCATGGCAGGGGGTTTGCAGCTAGATGACCTTTAAGGTCCCTTCTAAGCCAAAGCATTTTATGATTCTATGATACAGATCACATCTCTACTTGTTTGAACTCAAAACAGACCAAGGAGGTGGCATCTGCCAGAAGATCAGCTCACTGAAGTTAGTGGACTTGCTGCCCACCAGGCCCAGCTGAGATGACAGTGCTACCTCCATCATCACCACTTCCCCAACCAAGAGCCACTTCACACAAGTCAAACAATCTGCAAAATTACAGCTCACACCTTTTCAACACAGATATCCCCCTTCTGGTTTTGGGACAAGCCCTGATTCTATCCCAAAAAAGTGCTGAAAGGAAGATCCAAATTCAATTCCTGCCATCCCCTCCCACCCTCACATTGCATATCCTGCCAACATGGAACTACTGCTGCTCTTACACACTCTGGTCACTGCTGCTTCCACAGGACAACTGAAGGATAAAATTATTGGTTTCATGAGGAAAAAAATCACTCATTGGTTCTTCTTTCTCTTCTGCTTGGAGAGGCTGTGCAGCCAATGGAGGAGGAGAATCCCTCTGGACACGAGAGCCCAGATGCAGACTGGGATTCTCTGAGTCCCTGTATTTACTGCAATTCAGTCCCTGCACACAAAATCTGATCCACTTGAGTCTATTTTGCATGCACTGGCATGCTGAATGACTAATTCAGAGCTAATTCTGTAGAGGGGTTGGTAGAGTCACAATTGCAGACTGAGTGTCTTGGGTCCTGCATGACATTACAGGCTAAATTAGGAGAGCACTGACTCAAGAAGTAGCAGACCACCAGAGAGAAAACAGGAGCCTCAGAATAAAATCACAAGTATTGCTCTCTGTGGGGCATTTCTGATCACACAGTGTCACCTTTGGCACAGGAGAACTTATTTTGAATCTCACCTTTTATTCCTTTGCTTCTGATGGCCAAAGGTTTTGCCATCATAGAGTCTGCCTTGAATTATTTTAAACTTCTTGACAGGAGCTGATTGTTATTTCTGCAGTAGGTAATGTAGAGCTGAGATATCTGCACTGGCCCTGCAGGAACCAGCTTGTTTGGAATTTCAGGAGCACAGCCCTGCTATCCTTTCCAGGAATCAGACTGCAGGAAAGCACAGAGAGCTGTGACTGCCTCCCCACCACACAGTATTCTGCAACACAGACATACCCCTTGGGTCTGTAATGAATTCTGCTTCAACCCCCCCACCAGTGCATCCCAACCACTGCTGCTGAGGTAATTTCCTCCCCCATCCCTCTGCTCACAGCATCAGAGAGCTTGTCCTGCTCTCTTGGTCTTGCATGCTGAGGGCCTTAGGTGAACTACAAAGTGCTGTTGAGCATTTTGTGGGCTGGGGTGAGCACTGTGTTCATCTGTTCACCAACTTCTGGAGCACATCTGCTCCCAGATGGCTCTGCTCTGGCTGCCAGTGGCCACAAGGGGTTGGATTCAGCAACCCTAAGGGTCTTCATTGGTGTTCATGTCCCCAAAAGCCCACTCCTGCCATCCTGCACAGTGGCTCCTGCATGCCAGGCTGCCACCTCCACTTGCTCCTCTTTTCCTTCTCTTCCAGGGGCATTTCCCTTTGTGCTCCTGCCCTCTTGCCTCATCACACTGTACCTACACTTCTCTCCCTGCACCCTCCCTTCACATACTCCTCTGGCAAAATGATCCTTCCACCACGAATTCCTGCTTCCTTCTCTCATCCAGTCATTCTCTATGGCTGCATTTTCTTCCCTGAACCATTTTCCCCTGAACTTTTCTTCTCTTTGTGTTTTTCCTCACGCTCATTTATCTTAGAATCATAGAATCCTACAATACACTGAGTTGGAAAGGACCCATGAAGATCGCTGAGTTGAGCTCCTGGCCCTGCACAGGACACCTCAAGAAACACCTGTGCCTGAAAGTGCTGTCCAAATGTTTTTGAACTCAGACAGGTTTGGTGCTGTGAGCCCTTCCCTGGGGAGCCTGTTCCAGTGCTCAGCCACCCTCTGGGTGAAAAACCTTTTCCTGATACCAAACCTAAACCTCATTTCTGCCACCCTCATTTCTGGCTGCTGCCACTGCAGCACCTCTGCCCTTGCCAAGGGTCAGACAGAGATGCTGCTTGGGGCAAGCAGGAGCTCTCAGCTCAATGGATGTATTCCCAAACACTTTTGGACATAGGAGGCAATGGAGGTCAGCCAGATGAAACCATCCTTCAGGCTAATCTGCTCAACACTGGTACATCTTCACCCACTGAAGGTCTGCCCTGAAGGCACTAGAGATTCCAGAGCACACCTGCTTTTCCAGCCACCTTTACAGAAGTCCTCCCAAAAAGGCTCCATCTTTAGCGGCATCAAGCAACAGAGAATACTGCAGAATAGCCCTTTGCTCTAAATGACAGCTCTGAGATTTGTGCAGAGGTGATGTGATCCTGCTAAGCTGGGCCAGAACATCTTTAAAATCCATTCAATGTAAAATATGTATTGATGTATTTACATGGGATGATGTATTCCTGACATTAAATTCCCATCAAAACGAGGGAAGGGCTCTGCGGCCCCCCGTTACCACCGTGATCGATACAGCCAGCATGTTCCCCTCTCTTTTGTGGCTATCCTCCAAAAATAAGCAGCCTTGCCTGATGAATCATTTGCTCTTAGCTGAGCGTGAAGCAGCGTTCCTGCTTTGCTTGTGACGTCTTTATGTTAAAGATTCTGATCAAGAGCTTTAATCGACCTGACCTTTCCGCTCCCAGCTCTTCTTGTGGAGCCAGCAGTGTTTGCTGCCTCCAAACGTTAACTCTGGGGGGGCTTGAAGGACATAATGCAGTGAGACAGCTGAGACACACAGTAAATTGTCTGGCAGAGCTAAAAGCTAAAAGGGGAGGTCTCTCTGAGCAGGTCATGGTGCAGGTTGCAGAGGGAAGCTTTTCACACGTTGCCTCAACTGCTGCCTTTGCACCCTCTATTCCATACAGGAGGATTTGCACTCTTCAAGGCAGCTCTCAGGGCAGGACTTGACAGACATGCCATGTTTAAAATCCAAGTTCCATCATGTGGTGTTGGAGGGTCTGACTGCTTTAAAATTTTGCTTTGCTGCTGACAACCAAAGGTGAGCTGCCAGCAGCCCTGCTGCCTTGCCTGCACTCAACAACTCAGCATTTGCAAACTGAGGGTTGAAGCTAATTCTCTAACATGTCAACCAGTCCTGTAGGAAACAAAAGCATTTGCTCTACATCCTATCTACTGAAAAATACATGGCATTTTTCACATCATCTTGTGATGCTGCATGGCAAATCTAGCTCTGATCTTTGCTTGTGAGGAGAGAGACATAACCAGAGGCACACATGTAAAACATCTGCCAGCAGGAGTTACCCTTAGTCTAAAGTGCCTACCTTTTTTCCCTCTCCATTATTCAGTATATACTTACTCTCCTAACACCAAGAGCAGACAGGAAAACACCTGCATATTATTAAGCCAGTGAGATATTAAGTCAAAATTAAATGAGAAATCAGAGACAGAGGACAGAAGAAGATGATGCTGAAGAAGCCAAGGCTTTGAGCCTGTTAATTCTGCTAAAGACAGCACCAATCCATGCTCTTGCTCAGATGATTGAAGATTATTTACAACACAGAGTAAAGCATATTGTTGGATGAATTTATTCCAGCACCACACCCATAGCATATTCCATTTGTGCCTCATGCCACCATGCAAGGTGGATTTTAAGGATGGATAATCTGGCTTCCTACTGCTGCTCTGCTCTTGGCCAAGTTGATAAGACAGCAACACATCCCATGCTGCCAGACCTGGCTAATCCAAGACTGCCAAGTATTTATTGCAGTTATATTAACTGCAATCTAGCTGATCCAGATCATTAGAGGATGACTACAGCTTCCATCCTCCACTTCACAACAGTAGCTGGGTTGTCACCCAGGGCCTCCCCAACAACAGCAGAGAGCTCTGTAGCCTCAGAATGCAAGGCCTTGATTACACAGTGAAAGCAGTGAAACAAACTCCAAAAATATTAATCAGAAAAATCATGGTTAGTGTCCTATTTCCACTCACAAGATGTTTGCATTTCTTCTCTTCTTCCACTTGCCACCCTTTCTCTGCTCTGTCCCAGGGAAGTGTTTGAAGCTGTGTGTTCTATATGGAATTGCCATATTAGAGTAAGGTCTGGCCAGTACAGGATGGACTGCAGGCAGCTTCAGAGGAAGATCTTGAAAAGCTGTTTCTGAAGTATTTGAAAAACATTAAATTTGTTCCATATTCTGTTAATTAGATATGGCTAACAAAACATGAAGGTGTATGGCTTCCAATCAATTTCTTCTCCTTTTTTAGCATCTGTGCTACTTAGAATCAGGCTGTTCTTATGATCCTGGTGAACGCCCTGCTCTGTTGAATGCCCTCATGTCTCATGTGGGTGTGAATACCAAAGATTAACTGTGTATTTGTGAAGGAAAAGAATACTAATTTTAACCTTGCTTTCCTAGAGCACCTTGTCCTAATGAGACAGCATGAATAAAACTTACCAGCCCATCATTTTCCCCTAGGATTTTTTCATGTCTAATACATTCAGCCTCTGAGGCAAACAGTTTCACCCTTATTAGACCTGTTTCATGTGGAAGTTCTCCCAGGTTCACTATTCTTCTTTCCTATTAGTTCCACCTATGCTCAGCTGTACTAGCAAATAAAACTGGCTTGTTTTTAAAGAATAAAAGACTGCTTGCTCTCTGCCCTTCATCCTGCCTCTCTCCTCTGGGAAAAAAAACCCAGGAATCCTGGTTTATTCCGAAAAGACCTTAGATGATA